CGAGTGGCTGTGTGGTGCTCAGTTGCCGACTGAGGTTAAACCATGACACTTGGGTTTCAACTCTGTAGTTGCTAATTTTTAAATGAGCTTTTCCTGGAATGCTGCTTGCTTTTTTTTTCTAATTAATTATTTCTTCCTATGTACCTGGCACTCTCCATTTTTAAAAGCAATAGAGTAGACATTGATGCTGATCTGGTAAGGCACTGCATTTACTGTGAGAACTAAAAGGAGATACAGAGTACAGTGAATATGCAACTCCGGTGTTTTTTTTTTTTTTTTTTTTTTTTTTTTACCTCTGCCTTTTAGTTTGAATGATATATTGGTGAAATATAGTTAAAGGCTAGTCTTACACCAGTATTTTAGGTCTCATTTACTTTGCTTCAACAGCAGGCTATTAGGAGAATGGGTGGACTATTTTATGCTGTTTTTTCCTCATGTTGCTCTTGTACTATTAGAAAGTTGTAAGATTTCTAAATAGGCTATTAGAGCCTATTTTCCCCCTGCAAAAGAATGAAAGTATAGTTTCTGTCCAGTATGGCCCCTGAGAGGAGAGATATTTCAATGGATAGATGAAACACATGGAAAATGGGAAGGAGATGAGGAAAACGAAGAAAAGGTGATGGAGAAACTTATACGCAAATGCTGTATTAGTTGCCATGGTCTTAATTATCTATTGCTACCTGCCTCATCAGGTTGTGGTACTACACCATACACTTGGGAGGTTTTTCACACAATGCTTTTTTCTTTTTTCTTTTTTTTTTTTTAATTAGAAAGTAAATTTCTTGTTGGTTTGCAGCTAATGAGCAGTCCCATCCAAACTGCAGTACTTGCTATTATGTTAGTAGTAATGGTTTTGTTAGCTGTTCTTGAACAATGTAATAGTGTCAGAAGTATCAAAGAATGTTTCTTGATTTAGTTGATATAAACATTTTTTTATTTGCATTTAACTAGATTCTTTGCCTTTTGCTTTTCTCAAAGGCAAATAATTACCGTATTCAGCAGAAAGACACTACATCTTTCTAAAGGCTTGCAGACAACTTTAGTATTGGTCTGCTCTGGCTTAAAGGGTGGAAATGTGGATGTACTGAAGCGTTGAACAGCTTATGTATTTCTGTACGTTAGATGTGATATTTCAAATTTATTTAAAATAAATACCTACAAAACCAGAACAGGATTACTAGGCTGAATTGCTGATTGTCACAATGTGACCCCATGGTAAAAGGGAACATACTGTGTTTTGGCCAACTTACTTTTGCAATTAAGTGGGGTTTTTTTGTTTTAGTGAGAGGTGGTCAGTTAAGAATGTTGTTATGTTTATGAAAGTAAAGGTCTCATAAACTATCAATGTGCTTTTCTGATTTCAGATAGGTCTTATTATTGTTGTTATGTCTTTTTAAAAGTGTATTTGGATGGTTGCTGTTGTGAAAGTATAAGCAAGAGAAAATTGAACAACTCTCGAGACAGAGAAATGTGTGCTTATGTATGTAGAACTAAATACTCCTAAGGATTTTTGATAGGTCATCATGACCCAGTTCCACTTTACAAATGCTGGTACTACAGCAAAAAAGTTGCAGCTGTTTAACCAAGAATGTTGTTTTCTAATTCATCTGTTAATTATGTCAGTGAAACTGCTATGGTGTGGTGGTGTGTGGGTGTGTATTTATTTTTCTGGTAACTTGATGCTTTCTTCTTATGTCTAGAAGTTTCTCTTAATGCTCTCTCTCCAATTGTCTCTTGATCTATATTTATTTTTTTTTTAAGTGCTCCCTCTTGCGTTAGTGACAGCATGGTCATTATTGTTTCAGCATCAGTTACCAAATCACTTTGATTACAGTACATGTCATTTAGTGTTTAAAGGAATTATATCGTATTTCTCCCCTCCTAAGTCTTCAAGTGTTGTTCTGGGCTTATGTTTGCTTGCACGGCTCTCTGGATATCAAGACTTCTGATTTTTCCTGCTTTTTGTAGTTTCTTTGCAATTTTACTCAGCTGGCATCTGTGTCTGTTTGCTTTTGTTGCTGCCAATGTGCTAGTAACAGCTAAAACTGTTATTGTCTGTCTGTCTTCTTCAGGTCTTAAAATATTTTAATAACAGCATGCATTTGGGCTCAGCTGGTAATCCATTTCAGAACCTCAAATTAAAATTTACTGTAATTACAACAGAGCCTGCGATATGATCTCCATGTTTAAGTATTATTAATGTAATATAATCTTATGTCTAAGTATTATTAATGAGTTACTGATTAGCCAGATTTCATGCAAATACAGAGGTGGTTATGTTCAAGCAGATTAACCACAAAGCTGGGGTGGTGCTATGATATGATTGTAAACATTGTATTATCGTAGTGAGAGCATGGTAGTAGTCATAATATGCCTTAATAAAGCCTATATGGCAGGATATTGGTGTGTATCTAAAGATGTTGATTTTGCTACCATTAGGATGTAGTCTGAGGAGGAGTGAAAAGCTGCAACTTCCTCATGATCTAGACCGCTGGGGATAAATTGTTACTGATAATTTACAAAATTCTTTTACCAAGGAAGGAACATAGGAGTATTTCCTACTTTACAGATGAGAAAACTGAGTTACAGGTTGCTGAGTACCAAATGATTTAATTTCACATCTCTAACAGATGTTCGAAAAAACCCATTTTCTCCACTGTGTGATTTGGTAGCAACTAAAAGCTGCAGCCATTGCAGTAGTCTGTAGTCTGAAGGAGTGAAAAGCTGCAACTTCCTCATGATCTAGACTGCTGGGGATAAATTGTTACTGATATTTTACAAAATTCTTTTACCAAGGAAGGAACATAGGAGTATTTCCTACTTTACAGATGAGAAAACTGAGTTACAGTTGCTGAGTGACCAAATGATTTAATTTCACATCTCTAACAGATGTTCGAAAAAACCCATTTTCTCTAATCCCCACTGTGTGATTTGGTAGCAACTAAAAGCTGCAGCCATTGCAGTAGTCTCCCGCTGTAGGACAGGAGAAAACAATTCTCATAACCCCCAGAGAAAGGTTACAAAACTCCATGAGTTCCCTAGCAGTGGTGTGCTGCTGAAGTGGGGTTTCTTCACCTCCAATATGTAGTAGGTAGGGAACAGCTATGATTTATGAGGCTTTTGTTCCCATGGGCAGATATACTGCCTGGTAAATATTGAATGTATATATATTAATTCATCTCATATTAGATAAGCATCAATGTGAGAACACCTTTTCCATATGTTTTTTCTGTGAATTAAAAAATGTTAACGGTAGCTTCCTGAAAGCTTTCAAGAGTATGGCAGAGGCAGAGATCAATGGTTTCCTTGTTCTTGCATGCTATGCAAAGATGATAAATGGGCCTTCAAGGCACTGAGAAGACATTTAAAAAATACAGGGACAGCCACTGAACTGACCTCAAAGAAGCTGCTGGCTATCTCTTAGTGAGATAGGGAAATGAAAAATTAATGGAGGCTTACTTGTATACAGTATGTTTAAGACAGCAAGTGTATTGCTCACCAGGTTATTTAGGCCTTAAGTGACTTCTCATGTATATATGTACATAACTTGAACCTGTTTTAAATATGCCAATTCTTTCTTCCTCACCCCTCCAAAAGTATAGGTCATATATCAGTGGTTAGATTCTTCTATTTCAGGTTTGAGGGTTTTTTCCTCTTTTTTTTCATACCACATAAATGATGTGAAATCTTTCGTTTGACTAATTACCTTTATTTAGTGGTTAGTCTGGCTTTATGCAAGTTCATTTGGACACACTTGGTGACTGCTTCCTCTTTCTGACTTAAGGGTAAAATACTCATATGGAATATAACAGTGAAGGAGGCTCCTGTTCCAGTCACTTTGCATTGTGCACACTGTGAGAGACTGAAGACTCTGTATGGGCTACTTCCCTGCACTAGTCATGTCGTGTGATCTACGTCTATCTATAGGAGTCTTTGTGTTAAAATTCTGTTTAAGTTTGTGTTAAATTCAAAGATTCACTACCTGAGAACTGTAATCTTATGGCCTTAAAGGTTAAAGGACCTTTCAAAATGCTTCTACGCTGATAACTGTACTGAATAAAAAATGCGGGAGAAATCTTTGGTGTAGCACCAAGGACAATATGTGAGAATGTAATGATGGGGAAGAGAAAGTGCCTGCATGAAGTTTGGGGGTGATGCTTTGTCTTTCAGTTTCTTGCCTTGAGTGGGTATGAATGGGAGTGACTTTCCACTGTGAAGGATCAGGACCAAGGAAGGTATTTTTCCAGGTCATATTGGAAGAGAGGAGATGGCAAGTTACTAACCCCTCTGTATTCTCAGCTCTGTTAAAGACTAAAAGTGCAGTTTTGAAGTCATAAGTGTGTATAGGTCACGGTTCCTGGCGTTGCACGAAGACAACAGAGTTATCTTCTCTTTAGATAACAAGTATTTCCATGAGTCATAGAATTAAATGAGGTTTGACTTCCCCCCTGCCCCCCAATCTTTTTTTGTCTTAAGCCTGACTGATTTTGATATCTAAAAAAAAAATTGGCTCTAGTTAAAACTTTCCTTATGCTTGAATCAAATATAAGGGCTCCCCTCTGTGGATTTACTGGCATCAAGGGGTAGTGTTGAAGGCAACCTTTCTGTGAGTGGAGGAGGATCTTCTGTGGAATAACCTATTTTCATAAAGCACATTGGGATTTTGTATCTATGTTACCTCTACTCTTTCATCAAACTTGGTTAGAAATTGGCTGTTGGGTTTAGGCACTGCTAGGGAGGAAGATAATTAAAGTGCAATTCTATAAACTTCCTTTCCTTTAGGAAGCTATGCTCATAAAAATAAATTTTTTAGTGCTTGCGATGGCAAAGAAAACTTGCAAATGTGAATAGCAGGGAATGGATGTGTGCGCTAATGTCTGAACAAGTGGAGAGGCTGCAGAAGGAGCTGAAGCAGTCATTTTGGCAAGCAGTGCTGGCTGGTATAAACCAGGGCTGTCTGAAGGAAGGAGCTCTGCTTCTTCTGTGCCCCTGAATTAGTGTATTTCATAATGATTTAAAGTGTTGAAGGTCATATTTTTACTTTTCTCTTTTATGCGAGTACAAATTTTGAAGCCTATTTTTCAGGGGTAGGCCACCAGCATTTCAGAAAGTGCCATGTATGGCAAGAAGGTAAATTCAGTCTTGCTGCTGAATTTAGACTTGGCCTGCCCCCTTCTGCTAGCAGGGATTAGGGCTTCTCCTTAGTGCTCATGAAAAAGACTTGAGCACCCTTTACTGTTGTGCCTGCTTCCCTGGACCTTGTTTACAATCTTTACTTGCAGCATGAAGGTGCTTTTGGGGTCTGCCTTAAGTTTTGAATTGCTTAAATCTGTCTTGGACTGTGTTCATACTATACATCAAAAGTGCAATGACTAGTGTAATGTCCCTGGGTTACTGCAATGTTGAAAGGGGTTTGGGGCTTGTCCAATTTCCAGGACCGGGAATAAAGGGTTTTAAAACCTGCAGACTTTGAAATCTTAACCAGTGTAGGGGAATTGTATTTGTCAACACTTATTACAACCCTTCTTAATGCTTTTCTGAAATCCATGTGATTTCAGGTTTAGGCACTGTTGGATATAACTGAGGATATGAGAGTTTGTAATTTTGTCAACAGTAAGAATTGTTTGATCCAACTCCAGCAAAAATGTTTTGTGACATAATGCCTCTGAAATTACTTGAGGACTTCAGAAATTATATTGCAGCATGAGGCTTGCTCTACTGAGTAAAGAAACTGCTAATTAATGTGGGGGGGGTTAGCTTTTCTTTATTTTTCCTTTTTCCTGTCCTCTTCCCTAGGAATGTTTCGGAAAAATGAAGATTTGACTCCATCACAGAGGTGCTTGGCTGTAAGGTAGGCTTTCAGACATCTCTGAGAGTCTAGTTTTGGGGGTGGGGAGAAGCTAGTGTTTTATGTGCTTTATTAATGCTCTGTGGAATTGCTACAATTCACATCCAAGGTAGAGTTTACAAACTCATGTAAAACAGACCCATGCGTTTTATATTGTAGCTTTATTCATACATCTGTTCTCCTGGAAAATATACTTATTTAGGAAAAACATTCTAAGTTCTATGCAGTCTATGCAAATTAATGCCATATCAGACAGGAGACTAGTTAACATTTAGTATACATATAAAGTAGCTGGTGAAGAAACACGCTTGTTTAATTTTGGTTTTCAGTATTTAACTTGCCTTTTTGCCTTTCTTTATTCAGGAGACTTGAAAATAGTATGTTGTCCTGGGCAAAACAGTCTTGACTTGAGGCGTTTTCCTTATTTGAAATTATTGCCAGTTAACACAAACCTTCGTTTACTGGTTCAGTTATTGAGGAGAAAAAGAAAACATAAACAGTTGAACAAACACTTAGGGAAACACCCTTCCTTCTCCTTCCCCAGGCTCAGCTTCAGTCAAACACCTCTACTGGGCAAGGAGGGAGTCACTAGAGTTCAGGAGATCTTGTCTGAAAATGCTCAGTATGGATTGGAAAGAAATACTATGTGTAGAATGTTTTAAGCTGTGATTACAAAAGACACAAACTGCTTTTCTACATGTGGTTTTTACTGCAGTTAGAGTAAGCAATAACATGGAATATGACTCTTCCTACTGTGGAAATTCTGTAGAACTACACATTCCATCTCACGAGTTGCTTGTCTTTGAATTACAGACGCATGCCAAGTCTACTGGAGTATTTAAGTTACAACTGTAATTTCATGGGTATCCTGGCAGGCCCGTTATGCTCTTACAAAGACTATATTACTTTCATTGAAGGCAGATCATACCAACTGCAACAGTCTGAAGCAAATGGGAAGGAAGATACAAAATATGAACAAACGGATCCTTCTCCAAATGTAAGATGTATGACTCTTGCAGTGCTGATGCTTACGTAATCATTGCATGAAAAGCTTGGTTTGCACTGTTCATTTACAGGCATAACTTCTGAGCTGTATCTGGAGTTCATTCATCGACAGTATAGTTCCCTGTTCAAAAAGTTAAATACTTATTTTTTTAAGGCAGGTTTTCTCCATGGTTTCCAGTCTGGATCTTGTGGGTAAAAGCGGATTAAATTGGAGCTTCCCAACTAGCCTATATGGTAAAAAGCCGTCTTTAAATTAAAACAGTTCATGCATGTTTCCTTCAAAGCATATACTGTGCATTAAAAAAAAAAAAAGTCCTGGCAAGGACAAAGTGCACATTTTGTCATTTGAAAGCTGATGAGACTTAAAAGTTCCAGCAAGGTTTCATGAACGTTCTCAAATTCTACTGTTTTTTTTAAAATGTCGTCTTGCAGCAAGTAGAAAACATTCATATGTAACAAGTTGAAAAACGCTCACAGAAATAGTTTCATTTTTCTTGCTTTCATTCATGTAGAGAGGTATTAAAGATGGACTTTGATCTGAAGGTGTAGTAAAAGATGTACTAGCCATAACTCTATGGCTAGTAATCCATACAGCATATTTCTTTTTCCTCTTTGTTCCATTATTGGAAAAGAGACCAAATACATACAGAAGAAAGTCCAGCTGAATCATACCTTACAAGAGATATTGTATGGCCTAAATTAAAATCAAAAGCTCCCGAAGCTTGTTACTTTTTAAATTTAATCCTTAATTTTTTAAGTTTAATGTTCAGGGTACTGAATGTTATCTTTTCACTCTTTTCATATTCTCTTAAATAGGAGTGTATCAGACTTCTAAATTTGTGTGTGCCTAAGATAATTATTACCACACATAAAAAGCAGAATTATCATGGACTGGAACACTTCGGATGAATGGCTTTTGCTAATTCCAGTGCTAATCACCTGTTTTCCGCTTATCTTGCGGACCAACTGTTGCTGGAGCAGATGAAGTCATTCCCACGTGTAGCTGCTTGTCTTGTCCTACCATCCCCACAGCTGGGCTAACAGGGAGTACTTCCCAGTCAGTTGTGTCATCTCCAACCACTTCCATCCTTTGAACGTGGATGAGGACTCTTTGCATGTTCTGTTCTACCCATCTTGTGTGGTTGTAGTAACTTGCACCACAGGAATGTAAACTAGTGCCCGGTGGATGGTAACACTTTAAACTGCTCCACATGTTGACAAAGGATGTAAGCTCACAGAAGTGTGCTGTGGAGCAAGTAGTTAGGAAGGGCAAAAGACACAGGAGAATTCCTTGCATAGATTGGTACCTCATAGTCTGTAGTCTGCATTGATGTGTTCTATTGGCAAAGTTGCAGACACTTCTTTTTGTTTTTAATAGATTGGCACCTGTAGTGTCTGTAGTCTGCATTGATGTGTTCTATTGGCAAAGTTGCAGACACTTCTTTTTGTTTTTAAACATTGTTTGGGCGTAGTAAAGGCGTCACATCTTAGTGCTAAAATCCTATTTCTGCAGAAACATATTATGTAGTAAAATTATTGCAAATAAATGGAACTAACCAAATCTGCCAGCATCGGTACTTCTGGACATGCATCTACTGATTGCCTGGTAGGACTTCCTAGCTTTTTACCACATAATCTTGCTAGTAATCTGAACAAAGTCAATAGAAATAAATATAAACCTATGATGGATTCTTCTTTCAGGTAAGTGGTTTTCCTTAAAATGAGTTGCTTTTAAGATGCTTGAAACTTTTTGCGATTTATGCTACTTTTGACATAAAAATAAAGAGAAGCTGTCTATGCTGTTGATACTTCATCTCCCAACTGGTGTTAGAGAAATCTGGCTACATTTTATAACACCAGTGAGTATTGTGTGCTTTTGGAGAAATATGGATGATATAATTTTACTGCATTTGCTGCATCAATTAAAATATTCATTGTCTTGTTTTAGAAGAATGTTTAAATACCATTAACATTATATTAATACTTTAAATTTGTTCCATGATTCTCATGTTATTATTTCAAGAAGAATAAATTGTTAGGTAACTCAAAAAAATGAAATGTGATGGGGATCAGCAAATGTTAATGTAGTAAAGGGGGGGGGGGGAAATCCTTCAGCTGAGTTACAGTAAGTTTCATTTCTTGTTAAATATAATTACATAACCGAAGTACTTCATGCCAGCCTCCTCCTCTATACTGTGTGTTGACTGCATGATGTTAACTTGGTTTAGTATTTTTGCTGTGTTCATTGCATGTTAAATGAATCAACATATTATCACTTATTTCTTATATCCCTCCTATTGTGCCTTTTTGCAAGCTATCAATTGTTGGTGCTCAAAGTGGTGTCAACTCTCAGAAATTAATATCTGTCTTTGTAAGTTTCTTTTTATTATGGCTGACCTTAAAATACAAGCTTCCTATCAGCAGATATCTGCTTTCTTGCTTATTATGCAGACTTTTCCTACAGGTTATAAAGTTCTTGCTTAATTACCTATAATTTTTACCTGAGGTGCTAGCCTCCCCAAAATAATATGCTTTAATATAGTTCAGTATTATGTTGAGCTCCTTATTGATTATCAACCAAGAACAAGTTCATTCAAATAAAAGTTTCAAAGATACTTTTCTACTTTTTTGTATATATTTTTATATATTATCCATGTTTATACAGTAATATATTTATAAAATTCCTGAGCTCAGTGTTTTACCTTTGTTGCTTCAATTAGAAAGCTGTTCCTGAACTCCTTTCTCTGATTAGGTAGCTTTCAACCTAATTATATTCCCATCTAATTTATGCACGTTTGGTTTTGTCCTGGCACTGTCTCTTAGCTTTAGTACCTTTTTCCCTTCCCAGTGTTGACCATATTTGATATTTTTATACAGGTATGCCCAGTTTTTGTTCATCAAAACTAATTGAGACAGGCCTTTCTACCTTTTTGTTGTAAAATAATTGTATAGCCTACTTCATATGAGGTCAAAGTTATCCTGCAGCTTATGGTCTTTTAATTCCTTAACAGAACAGTTATTTGGATATGTTGAAAAGTTAGAGTGAATGAAATTAAACTTCAAACTTCTAAATTAGTTACTTCATCCTTGTAAAAACTGACCAACCCCCCTGTGAATGTGCAGTCCGGTGATTACCCATTTATGCCTTGGCAAAGAAGCTTATATCAATAACCTAGTTAATTAAGCAATAGGAAGTGAATTCATGTTTTACCAAATGCATTTCTATAGGTAATTGAACTATGGATTATTTTGGTGTCATGTGAGGACTTTTATTTCTGTGTAAATGTGTTCAAAACTTGAGTACTATAAACAAGCCTCAGGCTGTAGTTTAATAATCTGTTTAGGCCAATCGAAGTATAAACTCTTGCTGAATACGGTAGGGTCCTGGCTGTGGGTTCTGGGTCCTTTGCTTATCCTAGCAGTGCTAACATGCATTGCGCTGCGTTGTGGTCTGATTCAGATCATTTGATCCAGCCTAAAACTAACTTGTCATTTAAAAAAAAAAAACAAACCCACAACCAAAAAAAACCCACAAAAAAAAGCCCAAACAACACACCTGCCCCCCCCCCCCCCCCCCCCCACCCACACCCAACCAAAAAAAGTCTAGTTTTTCACCTGATTTGTTTCTCTAATCTGACGCAGTAGAAGGAAAAAGAGCAAAAACTTGCAGCCAAGGCGAGGAGGCAGGGCAGGACTGCTTCTTTGCATTGCAGCCTGTGTTTGGATTGTCCTTCAGAAACTCTGCTTAAACCAGTCCTGAAACTGCAGCTCCCAGTCTTTGTAGAGGCAGGAGATTACTTCATCACTGTTTGCTTACGACACTAATATTCCTGATACTGATCCCTGTAAGTGGTATCAGCATGCTTGACTGGGGTTTTGGGATTTATAATTATTGAGTGAAGTAGTGTAATTTAAAAAAAAAAAAAAGTCATGCTGTTTCTGGATGTAGTTATGCTTGTCCCTACACCTAAATGTTGCTGCTAAAAAAAAGTTGTAGAAATATATCATTTAAGTACTTACTAAATAACTTAAAACACCTTCATCCTACAGTATTTTTTCTACAACTACACATTGAAAACTGCAGAGTTTACTTTTTAAAGGTACAATTTATGGCAGAGCCCTGTATGAGTTCATTAATTTTTCTTAACATAAATTTTGTTGAAACTGTGCTTTTCCTTAAAAGAAGGGCTTTCACCTCCACAATTTAGTTAAAAACCTTCAAAGAGGTACTAAGCATATTTTGGGTTGAATAGGCAGATTAATGATTTGTATTTACCGATAGAAAAACTGGTTAATGGTGGCAGTGGCAAAAAGCAGGCCTTTAAACAGAGAACATTACTTATAAATTGCCAAAACATATTTTGAGACTTTGTAGAGATCTTCAGATGGAAAACACCTATTGTACATGTTTATGCTTATATTTTAAGTTGCATGTTAATGTTACCAGCCTATAAATACTGTTTCTCATGCTAAATCGAACATGACTCTTAATTTTGGCTTAGACTCTGAAGTTAAATCCTTGCAACTGTCTTCAGAACTTTGGGGTGATGCCTTTTGGTATTTACAAATATCTGACTTTTGCATGTATCAGATATTGCATACCAAAATTAAAGATTCATTAGCTTTAATAATAACTGATTTTATGAACATTAATTTCTATTTAAATTCAGGAAGAAGTTAAGCCAACTGAACTTTCCCTCTGCTGTGGCAAAGAGAGAGATGGATTAATAGTTGCTAGAAAAACAAAGGAACACTTTTGGAAAGTTAATGCCCTTTACTTTGAACTCTTGTAATAGAGTAAAATATTAAAATGAAGTTTATTAGAAAGCAAGTAGGAACAAATAATTAAACACCAGCCTTAGCTGTTAATAGGTAGTTGCCTCGTGAATTATCCAGCTGGTTTGTTTAATTAGCTGTGTTTTCTGATCCTCTCTGAAATATCTTCTGAGGTCAGCCACATGAAATATATGCAATATCCAAAGTTACCCTCATGGTTTTACAGCTTTTCCAAGCCTATTTTTTTTTTATCAGGTTGTACCACCTCTTACATCTGTGTGACTGGGTGAATCTTTGATACTGTGTGTCTTGCAGAAATCTGTGTTTTCAGTTGGGCACTTAATGCTCCATTCTGTATTATGGAACAGAATTACTCTTTGTTTTGGAACTAGATATGTGAAATTGCACTCTAATTGAAGCAGGACGCTATCTTTAAAAGTTCGGGCAGATATACTGGAAGCAGGATAGACAGAAAAAGGATTCTGGTTATCTTTTTGTTCTGATGCTTCAAAGAAAAATAGCTACATTGACTGTTTACTTGCTAAGTTTACTGTTTGTAGAATGGTAATGTAAATTAAAATTGTAATGTTTAAATTTAAATATTGAGATTACTTACAATCAAAACTTGAAAATTACAGTTACATGAACTAGCTCTCAAACTTCTCTTTTGTAGGTGTTTGGTTAGTGTGTTACTTAAGGAACTTGCACAGAACGTGGTATCTGCCCTTGGCATGTGGATCAGACTAGCTCAGCTACTTAAAGCAGTCAATGTCATGCATTATTGCTCTGTGCGTTTTATAATAGAACCTTAGAAATATTTTCCTAAAAATACATACTCTTCAGTGTGGTGGTTATAGCAAAACTGAATTTTGAGAAAATCTGAGTCTAGGTCCTACCTGAACAACATATTTTTACATGTCTGTGAGTATATCATTTGACCCCTTGTAGCTTGATCACTCTAGTTGGGAAAACAGGTCTATATAGAACTGAGGTGTTTGGGCTGTAAACTCATAAATTATTACAGTATTTTAGTTGGTTTAGAATTTAGATATAGTAATAATCTAACAGATGATTGATGTATTGAGTTGGGCAGCAATTGAACACCTGCATTATGCCAAAGATTACCAAAAATGAACTGAAGCTTTGCCATTGGTTTTGGAATCTCTGCAATTATTGTACTCATCTTGTCCTAGATTACACGCTTTGTGTTATGATGTCTTAACAACTTAATTGCTTCAGTAATTTGACAAGGAAAGAAGAAAAAACTGGAGTTGCAAAAGATGTTCCCATTATTGAAAGGGTTTTTAGAGGCTCCCTGTAGTCAGATTGGATTTGCTGTGTTTGCCAGAAGTGGTGCTCACAACTTAATCAAGATAACGATGTTCCTTGAGCCTCTATAAAATGTTACCAACTATTTTAAAGTTGGTAGTATATATTACTGAAAACTTGACATATATACACATCTGTTTAGGGAAGGAAGATTATAACTTGCATTTGTTTCCAGAAGATTAACAAAAAATGAAGCTTACAAAGTCTCCCATCTTAAACTTTTCAGATAGCCGTGGCACAGAAACTCTTAATCTGTGGACTGTCCTTACTCTTCCACATGACTATTACAAAAACTTTGCCTGTGGAATACAACATTGATGATAACTTCAGAGCTACAGCATCCTGGCCTGTAAGGTTTTTCTACCTATACGTGTCTCTTATGGCTGCCAGACCCAAGTATTATTTTGCATGGACTTTAGGTAAGTACATCTATTAAAAAAAAAATAAAATAAAAGAAAGTGTATGTATTGAGTTTCATTTGAGATGCTGCACACTTAGCATGTGTTAAAAAGTGACAGTGCCCTCTTGAGGCCTTAGGAAAACATTATTACATTTAAGTATTATGAGGTATTGTCAAAGTGTATTGAATGGTGTCTCTTTGAGAAACAAAACTTACCGTAAAACTAAGCACAGTGTTGTGACAGTGCTGCAAACAAGATCATGGTCTCCTGAACAAATCTGAGTCAAACATAAGGTTTTTTGGAGAGTGATAGTGTTTTAATGACTTTTTTGGTTTTAAAAATTGTGGTAAATCTAGTCTGATGTACAATCCCTGGTTTAGTTTTTTTTTTTTGATACCTTGATTTTGGCATATCTGAAAAGTTCTTCCAAGCCTCTTTCTGTGGTTAGTTGTCAGTAATTTGCCTGCTGTTATTCAAGCATGAAGGAAAAATGAATATATTGAAATTCAGATATATCATAGTGTTGTTAATAGTAGATGGCACTTGCAGTAGTATTTTCAGAATTTGATGGGTGACACTTCCATTTTAGTCTTTGTTTACTAAAAGTTCTAATTAACCAATGGGATTACACCCATAGTCGCTGATTTAAGACACCGAATAGATGATATAGTTTAAAGAAAGTTTTGCTTTTCGCTTCACATATTTGAAAACAACAACACATACAACAGCAAAATCCTGTATTTATGTCAGCTGACATCTTGGAAGTGGCTCACAAAACAGATTTCATCAGCTTCCTCCTCCTCTCCAGTTTTACATATTTGTTTCATAATTCTTTTGAGAGAGAATCTGTGGGAAACAATGCAATAAAGAAAGCCTTAGTGTAGCAGAGCAGCATGACTCATTTACAGCTGCTGGTTTCATTCCTGATCAATGAATAAAGTGCTTTCAGCTTGTCTGGATATAGTAATTCTGGGGCTTGTTGTAGAATGAAATAATTTTGAATATTGTGCTCTTATGCACCAGTATCGTCGGCTGTAAAGAGTAGGAGCCATCTGAAATATGAGTAATCTCTGGGATTTTTCCGCTGTAATACTTCAGATGGATTTCTCCTTATGCGCTTGCTAGCAGTGTAGAGCTAGCATTCCTTTGGTGAAATACTAAAGAAAATAAGCTATATCAACTCTGTACTTTTAGTTTGTTAAATAACTTTTTTTTACCTTCTTCCTTCCATTTTACCTCATCTAAACTTCTAATGGTATGAGAGAGGGGGTCTTAACAGTTTTACTGAATGTTATGCTTTTGAGTTGTACGTTGCTATTCTTTGCACTTAAGAGAAAAAAAAAAATCTGTTAATAAAATGAATACCTACTAAAATGCTAGTTAATAAAATGGGTACTTACTCTAGCCGTAGTCTTTGTACTCTAGCTAGCAAGAGATTATGGAGTTCGTGTCTTCAGCTGTTTCTAATTGAGCATAAAATCATTGTCTAATGTTTGAAGTTGACATCAGTGATATCAGATGTATAGCAGCAAATTTTGATGCTTTCAAAGATGTTTTTTAAAATTGTTATTGATGAGGAAATAAAAATATTATTAAATATTATAAATTACCCTATATTAAATCAAATGTCACAAAGCCCTCTTCCAGACTGGTAGATAACTGGAGAAACTGAACTTCAGGAAAGGAACTGTTTGAGTCAATTGTTTCTTTTACTTTCCAAGTACACCAGAAAATACCTTGAAAAAGTTGTTAAGAAGACAGGAAAATGCAAAAGATATGAATTTCTCTTACATGTCACTATTGTATAAAGTAAATTCTTTTTAATATGGTAGTACAAACTGAGCAATTTCTCTTGCCTTGCTAGTTGTAATTTAAAAGGTGACAATTTAATTACAGTGCTTTAGATGAATTCTGAACTAACAGAGAGGGCTCATGTCCTGTAACTAGAGGACTAGATCTGTATTGCTTCTGCAGAGCCTTTTGCCTACCTTGCTTCCAGTTCCTCAGGTCTCCTCTGAACTGGGAGAGGAGCTGACGTTCTTCTCCTCGTGGTCGCTTATTTATCCACATCAGTGGATACATGGCTGGCTTCATGCCTCATGGATGTGTGTCCGTGTTTGGGTGCATGCAACCAAGCACCTGGCTCAACAGAGGCAATACTTGGGGAAAAAAAACTCGTTTCCTTGTAAGTGGCCATCCTAATTTGAGAAGCACAGCTGGGGAAATTTTAGTGTCTGAGCTAACAAACCTGAGGCAAAGGTGATGACTGAAGGTGACAGGCGGTATTCAGACTTAGATCCCTTGTATTTTCCTACATAGTCCAGGTGACGGTAGCAGCTTTTTCTCCTAGGGAAAAATATTGTTTGCTTTGAACTATTTGACCTTTGACATGCATGTAAATACTTCGCATTCAGAAGCCTTGTTAACAGTGGCCTTGTGCCATTAGTGGAAATCTGACAAACTCTGCATTGCTTAGTAAATTACTGTTTTCTTCTGAGGTTTGCAGTGCTCTGTGTGGCGCTGTAAATGTGCACCTGCTTGAAGTGAGTTGTGCAATTTTATCTTTATGCTTTAAACATCACTGTTACTGCATAATGACGATCAGACACGCATCTGAGTGTTGAGCTGCTATCTCAAATCATTACGACCAGCCACTGTTTCATAGTCTTGATGCATCTCACTGACTTTGTTTTTCTGTCAAATTGCTCAAGCAAGTCTAAGTAGGTGGTATGAGAGAGGTGGGACATCTGTACTGTGAAGTCGATAGTGCTACCTTTCGTTCTTTTGCTTTTGTACAAGTTTTTTAATTGAAAGCCAGTGTGTTGCTTGGATTATTTTCTGTTTGTTCAAGTGTCTAATACAGTGATCCTCAGTATTTTAAAAAAATAAATATGTAGCCTTTAAAATGTGATAAATACTTTGAACAAACTATGTTGTGTGATGCACAATGTGTAATACAGGTAGTTTATAATTCACTTGTTTCTTTTTGTTTCATTGCAGCAGATGCAATTAATAATGCAGCAGGTTTTGGTTTTAGAGGCTATGATAAAAATGGAGTTACACGTTGGGATCTAATATCAAATCTGAGAATCCAACAAATAGAGGTTTGTTCATGGCTCTTTCAAATAAAATACATGCTCATGTAGGTAGCTGCTTGTAATTTCAGTAACTTTTCCTACGCATTTTGTTCCTCAAGATAGTGAATATGTTCTAAGTCAGAAATGACATGTTCACACCCTTAGGAAAGGATGGAAAATAGAGTCTGTTTTGAATATGTTCTACTTGTCAGTTGACTTCCAAAATATTTTGTGGTTATAAGTAGTTGAGTAAATACCTTATTCAACTCGTCACAAAGTAGGGGGGTTTTTTATAATTTATATGTCAGAATTCTTAAGTATTTTGTAATATTTTACAATTACGGAAATAATTAATCTGTTTTTACTTTACAGTTTTCCACAAGTTTCAAGATGTTTCTTGATAACTGGAATATCCAAACAGCTCTTTGGCTTAAAAGGTATTTATTTCTTAAAGGAAAACTTTTCTTCAATGAAGTTTCTTAGATAAATATGTCTTTGAAGATAATTTAACATTTAAAGCTAAACCTCACAAAGGAGTATGGTTGTTTAGCAACTGCACGGGACATTCTTCTTGTAATACTTGAATTAAAGCCTCTGAATTTAGCACTTCTCTTTTAGTGTAAACTATCAGGTAATGATAGAAACTGTTTTTCTTCACTGGTCATAGGGAACCTAAAAGTACTGATCTGTGGAGGTGTCTCTTTTTTTCCCTCTTAGCATTCAAAGCAGTGCATGTTCCTGAGAGCAGTAGGCAAAATGCACATCTTTGGCTGCTAGCCAGCGGAAACTCTGCTTTTTTTTTTTTTTTAATTAGACACACAGTGATACAGGAACTTCCATACATTCTGTGAGAGAATTTTTGGCACTCCTTCCATAATGAATGCATGGCAAATATCAAACCCTACAATGTGCTAGCAAAAAAAATTGCAAATGATATCCCTCAGATGTGCTTTTTTCCTTGTCTGGGAAATGGGTATAGTGCCCAGTGAACTAAATCACTCTGCTTTTACTACTACTTTGTGGTAACTAGAAAGTAAAAAAGTGTTCTTGAGTAGTACATGGATGTTGTTTCCCTTCTCCTAGTATCTGTATAGATGACCTTTTATGAATAGGTGTGAGTTTAACTGAGACACCCATCTTGGGATCGCTCAGAGGACTTTCTCTCTTACTGTAAGACAGTTGGCAATAGGATGTTGCTTCCATCAAATTTCTTTATAGTGTATTCTCTTTCTTCCCTAAATATTTTTCTGAGCCAATTAAAAACAGAAACTGAAATTTATGTGATTATTCTGGTTGGCTCAATAGGCAATAGAATCTATTGCTAGGACAGTCAGTAAGCAAGAATTGCATGCTTGCAGGTATTGATATGTATCATTTAATAAAGCAAATAAGCTATTTTGAAATGCATTTTAATTTAATTAGAGAACAGAAGTTTATCAGTATTAAAACTTAATAGGAAAAGGTTGTGTTCCAACAAACTTTCAAAGCTCCTAAATTGAATGATATTAAACTAAAACTCCTTTTAGTGGAGATGAGTACCATTTCTGTTAAGAATTGAAAGAAAAAAATGCAAATCAATTGTTCAGGGTGACATTAAAAAAAGAGGAGAAGAAAAATTAAAGCATCTCCTTTAATAAATATTTTTAAGAACAATTAAGTTCAACTTAAGAACAATTAATTGCTCTTAAATTTTTAAGAACAATTGTAGAAGAATCTTTGAGGGTAGTCTAAATGCATGTTGATTCTGCCACAGTGAAAGGGAGAAGGGTGGATGTTTTCTTAAAGATTTGTTGCAAGCAAGAGACTGTTTTAATGATTATATATGAGGCAAAAATATTGGTCCAGAGTATGTATTATATTACCAATAATTCGGTTAGTTGCAATGTTTTGAATAGAGGACAAACTCATGTATTACTTTAAACATCCACTTTTAATACCTCACCTGTTTACCATTTATGGAAGTATCTAAAAATCTTAGGCATTTATCTCAGGTGAAATGCAGAAATATCAGACGTCAGCATTCATTCTGTTCTTTTCTGATACTCTTGAAAGAGGAACTGAACTTAAACTCTGCTTGTGTGTAAAAACAAACCCTTTGTAAAAACACAGCTAACTGTCTACAGATCATAAAGTTTAATAAACATTTAATGTAGATCACCAAATACAGCAATTCTAAGGTATTATTGTTACAAGCATGCAAGTTAGAATAGATATTTACATAGCAGCATATATCAACAGTATATATCATGATAATGTTTCCTGACTGGGGAAGCTGTTATGTTCCCCCTCAGCCTGTTCATTGTTTTTTCCAAAGAAAACATCTAATTCCTTTTGTCTTTGGTCACGTTTGCAAAACCTCTGTGGTTCTTGTTGCTCTCTTCTGGCTTCTTTCCAATCTTCCTGTCATCTTGCAGAGGACGTAGTACTTCTGCTAAGACTGCCAGGGTCTTTCCCTGGCTTGTTACAGGCACAGTTGAACGCTTTTGAGTGGATTAATTACCTTTCTTTTCTTTAGATAACTCTTGCTAATACATCATAGTATTACATCTGTCTCTTTTTGCAGCAGCAATCTAGCGTTGATTCATGCTCAGCTGATACTCAGTGTTTCATACTGTTGATTCATATTCATGCTCAGCTACACTTCTTCAGTAAAGTTAAATGGACAGGTACTGTTTTGTATCTCCCACTTTTCTTCTTAGATGTTCTAGACTTTGGACTTCATCTTGTTGATTTCAGAACATCATTCAAGTCTGTCAAGATTAATTTTGGATTCTAGTGCTCTGTCTGTTCAATGCTAGTCTCCTTCACTCCCCCCATCCCTTCCACACACAACCCCCAAAAAAAGGAAGGGAAGGCAGGGTGGAAAAATAAACTTCTCAGTCAGTCTACCACCCAAGCCAGTAATGAAAGTATAGAACCAGACTAAGGGGAGTACCTTGCTGAACAGCTGATGCATCTTCCCACTTAAAGAGCAAATCATAGATAACCTGAACCACACATATTTGAATAGACTTTCTCAGCCTGTTGTGATGACCATATTTCCTTGGTTTGCTTTTAGGAATGTCAAGTGAAGCATTTCAACGCAATTTATTATTGACAAATCCATGGAGAAGTTTTTAAGCTTACTTTTAACTCCTTGAAATTGAAGCCTGATTTTTTTTTTTTTCCTAGTATATATTTTATCTGACTTGCATTGATATAGCTGAAATTTGATTAGTTAATTTAGGTAGTTTTGTTAGCTCCTGAATGCTTTGCAGGGGAAAATCTCCTTAAAGTAGTTTAAACCAAATAAAGACTGAGGCTATTTATCAATTTATTAACAAGACATAATTAACCACCAGTCAGTGAAATATACATTTAGAATTAATATCAGTACTGGAACAGATAATGTTTTGTAAGTGCTTAGTGGTGTGGCTTAATAAACAAATTTGTAAACACTCTTCTGTAACTAATCCCAAAGAGTTTAACAGTGTACATGCACACGCATGGTTACATGCAAACCGCGCCTCTACTCCCAAGGACGTGTGGGTTACAAAAGCACACCTCCTTCTGGCAGCATGGGCCCCCTGCTCGTATGCACTGCCTGTGGGAGATGTGGGTGCTCCTGCCTAATGTGAACCCACTGATTCATATGCCAATTGGAAAAGCATGCCACGAGTTCACGTGCATGCAGCTGATAGGGATGATATTTTGCTCCCTGCATACTGCACTGACAGTCCCCTAGCTGGATGCAGGCTACTCGGTGTCTACCAGGGAGGATGCTCTGTCTTGGCCGAGACAGAGGTCATGATGCTGGTGGGGCAACTTCTGGCAGTGTCAAACCAGGTTTTGATGACTAGTATTTTGCTCCAAGGCATCTCCCTCACTTGTTACAAATTTTCCTAGTGCTTTTCTACTTTCTAGGCTGACATCTTCTTTGTTTCAAAAGTCTCTTTGAAATTCCCTGGTTACTGTTTAGTCTGGCCAATGTTGCTTTCCTCTTTAAGGTGATCTATTGTGGGCAAATGTCCTCGGATAGTTTTGCATATTACGCATGCATGCACCTGCGCCCTACTCAGGCCCGTGTTGTCATCTTAATGGGCATTGTTAGCGAAGCCTTTTGGTAAGGGGAGGGGGCTCTGCTGGTACCCTGCACTGAAGACCTCCTAAGATAAAACTTACCCCATCTATTTGACTGGAATAAACTAAATTAGCAAAATACATTTTTGATCTTTCCCTGTTCAGGTCCTGCCTTTTTACCGTCTGCTCTTTAACACTGACTGTATCGTTTGGTCTCAGCAATCTTTTGTATATATGGAAGTTGTAGTCAAGTAGTTATATTAGTAGTGAATGTTTCGGCTCTCTGTATCATTAGCTTGTCTTCCTCTTTGAATAATAGACGTGCATTCTCTTCTCTGTTGCTTGCTATGTGTTTATAAAACCTTTTTACATATTGGTGTCTATGGCCTTTTTTAGTTAAAACTCGTTTTTGTATGTTAGCCTTAGATTTGTGTTCATGCATGCTTGTGCTGTTTATTTTTGCTTTATGTTAGTGTGCATCTCTTTCCATATTTCCTATTGCTTTTTGGTTTTCAGATCACTAAAGACATTAAAGAACTCTTGATGAAGCCATATCAGGACCTTACCATGTTTCCTATCATTCTTCCACATCATGATGGTTTGTCATTGTGTCATTTAATGTTGTCTTCTAGAAACTACGTTTCTTGGATTCCTATTTCCCTTCTTCCTTCTAGAATTCCTTACCGTAGGACCTTGCCTAATAATTCGGAGTCTCAATTTTTAAATAGCAGAGTTCAGCTACTCTCCTTATGATATTCTCACATCCCTAGAGTCATTAATTATAATTTCATCATCATGCTCACACAAGAGTTTGTGGGATAGTCAGTGCCTTCCAGTGTAGCTTTTCAGACACATTCTTGGATGGCTTAAGATCCCTTATTAACACCAACACCCGTCTTTGGACGCTTCTGTATCACTTCACTATAAATAAGTACCATATGCGATGGCACTGAGCATAGGTTAGCACTGAGGGGTTAAATCAGGAGCTGTGAATAGCTTCAGGTATTTTCTGTAGGTCATAACATAGTGGCAACATTATTAAATAATAGCAAACTGCAGTTGCATTGCAAACGATGTGTTGGAGATGAAACTGCTAAAAGTATAAATGTGTAAGTGATAACTGGGAAGATTGTTGGTGATCTGTCTCATGTTATTTATCTTGAATTGTCTTTGACTTCCTAGAGTGTGCTATGAGCGAGCCACCTTCAGCCCAACGATCCAAACCTTCATCCTCTCTGCCATTTGGCATGGGGTTTACCCAGGATATTACTTAACATTTTTAACAGGAGTACTAATGACACTAGCAGCACGAGCTGTAAGTATCAGCCAAGTATCTTCTTAAATAATAAGTAGTTCTGTAAAAGAAAATTGATCATGTTCTGTAGTCCAAAGATGTGATTTACAGTTGACAAACAGTCTGTCCGATAGTTTTGTTTACTTTTTTTAGTTATGAAAGCAGTGGGAATGATTATTGATAAGGAGGGGTTGGTCAGTAGAAACAAGCAAGACTGTATACAGCCTATAACATCTTTGTAGCATATCTTTTGTGGAAGCCCTTCCTCTGTATTAACTGATCATGTGTTATTATGCCATGCTAAAAAAGAGGATGTTATCTAAGATCATTCTGGAAAAAACTTTATCACTGATTATCAGTAGCTTAAAATTTGGGGGGTCAAGTGCTATATATATGGAGTCTGTCCCCCTCCCTAATTTCTGTCCAGTACTATTGTAAGGATGGTGACTAAAGAATGCTCCCCCTCAACCAGCAGATAAACATCTCTATTACTACTCAAAATTGGCCAGCCAGCAGTGCAGTCACACTAACAAGCTTTTACAGCTGCTATTCAGAACCATACGGAACCAGCAAATCTGCCAAGAAATCTCTCAGTCCTGCTTGAGAAAGCTGAGTAAGAACAGAGGCAGGTTTATCAGTTACTCAAGGGGAAAGAGGAACAAAAAAACCCTAGCTGTCAGCTCAGAGCAGAATAACAGACCACTTTTCTGTCAAAAGAACCAGGAGAATGAGAAATGAAGCAGACTGCTCTTTGTTGCTATAATAGCTAGGGGAAGGTGGTTCTTCAGATTTAGATTGTTACTAACAGTAATAAAACACATGCTCCTCCTCTTTCTTCACAAAGATGTGGGTATAGTCCCTGTTTGACAGAATCGACTCCTTTCTTTGCAATAGGTATAGCTCCCTTCTTTCTAGGTTCTATTGCAGTGAGCTTTTAACGTTTATCAGCCAGGGGCTGGTGCAAAAGCCAAGGTTCAGGGGCAGTTCACAGGTAAAAGTTGTTGTGTTCTCGCAGTCAGGTGAGTCCAGTAAATCAGAGTGCTCACTGCACTTCGTCCTGGGCTTTGCTAGTAAGCTGCATTGTATTCACGTCATATGTATCAACCAATAGTCTATTAAATAAAAATATTGTTAGTTTCTGTATGAACAGTTACTTAATATTAACTGATAAGATATGTTAGAGGTACTTTAGCATGTTTATTATTTAACTCTACTAGCCTTTATTAAGACTGCAAAGCTTGGCAGCTCTGACCCACGCTTTCTTCTCCTGTCATGCTTAAGCATGTATTCAACTAGCTTTACTCCCTTTAATCATTACGTGTTTCATAATCAGGTGTTTACTAGGGGCAATTATAGATTTATCTTAAAAGTTGTCCTTCAAGTCTTAAAATACTAGATTTCTCTACAAGAAATTCTGGGAAACTTCATCCAAGTTCATTTACTTAAATTCTGCTTAAATTCATAAATACTTAAATTCCTGTGCTGGATGAAGCGCACTAGCCTAAAAGGCAGGGAATTTGAACTGACTCCTATTGAAGTCGATGGGCGTTTTGAATAGTTGACCAAACTGTAGCATTTAAATTCATCCTATGAATTTTGTGGAAGTGCAACAAACTCTGCACAGTAAGATAGCTCTCAAAGTTTATTCCTAAGCTAACTTACTATTACCTGCTTTTTCAGATAAGAAACAATATCAGACACTATTTTGTTGACTCTCCTGCTGTTAAACTATGTTATGATATTATAACATGGATGACAACTCAAGTAGCAATAAGTTACACAGTCGTGCCATTTGTACTGCTCTCTGTAAAACCCTCTTTCACCTTTTACAGGTAAGCATGTTCTACCTGTTTCCTTTTTTCTTTCACTTGGAATAGAAGTAGTTTCTGTGGCATAAGATTTCTGAAGCTATTTTAGTGATAAGACTTATTTGTTAGCTGAGCAAACTAACTGAACTGTATTTCTGTTCTAGTGCACGAACATAGTTTGTGTTGTGTATGAGAGACCATAAAGTGATCTCGTTTTCGTATCATGATAGACTTATTTTTCCTGGGGCAGGGGGAAAAAACAACCAAAACCAGGGGGTACCTTTGAGATTACTATATGCACTTGAACTATTTTATAGCAAGACTAGATGACAACTTCCCAAAAGTAACTTTTGTGAAAAACAGCAGACTTCACTTTACATCTCTGTTACAGCACTAAGTACTGTGGGGGAAGACTTCATTTCTGATTTCCCCCTTACTACTTTTCTTAAAAAGGAAATATTAATGTCTTCCTGACTTAAATGTCTTACGTGCAAAGTACTGTATGCAAGTAGGTTTTGACAGTTTATTCCTTAAGCATCCTGTAAGAGTGGTCAGAGTTTTATTGGATTATTATTTTTGTTTGTTTTTTAGCTCCTGCTATTTCTGTCTTCATATTGCCAGCATCCTGGTGTTGTTGGTATTTCCATTGAAAAGAACTCAAAAAGGAAGTAAAAAGCATGAAAGCATCCAGCCCGTGTGGTCCAAAAAACTAGAAGAAGAAAATCTTTTGCAAAAGAACAGTTATTCCACAACAAATAATAGTTTCGGTCAGAAACAAGAAATAACCTGCAGATATCAAGCATTAAAACAGTGATTGAGGAAATACTATGATGAATATATTTTGTATGTTTTCAGAAACCCATTTTTAGCACCTTTTAAAGGGGTTTGTATTTGTTTGCAAAGATGTTTAGTAAGAAAAGAATGCATTACCTAGGAAAATCACATACAATAGCAAGACTGGAAACAAAACAAATTAACCCCTCCCATGCCATGTCCCTGTGGGTCACGCCTTATATGAAGATATTACCATTATTTCAATGGGCACTCAGGACTTGCAACGTATGTCCATAGGGTCATATGTGTGCCCTTTGCTGAATGTACGTTGTGTATCCCAAGGCACTGATGGGGTGGAATAAAATTGTGTCAATCTAGGATTAACAAATGGAAATTAGTTTTTCCAAATGAATGACTTGCCTTAAACCCTCTATTTACTGAAATATTTTTGAAGTATTTTCAAGTTTGATTTTGTGTGGAAAGCATATTTCAAATATGTAATACCGTATGCTATAAAGAAGATAAAAATAGGAAATGCAAAGTCATTAGAAGGCTTTTGAATCTTTAAAAGGGAATTGCAATAAGCATCTCAGTATTTGGAGGGTTTTCTTAAAGTATCTCAAACTATTACAGTACATTATGGAACTGTAAACATTAGTGATGCCAAATTGTAGTTAGGTTTCTTTGATAAAGAGTATAATTACACATAGCCCTTCTGAATGGATTAAAAAAAAAAAACGAAGGTTCACCTTTTCCCGGGCTTGATAGCTCTAATCTAGGTTTCTTTTACTTCAAAGTAAAACCTAAAAACAATAAAAAAACACTGCCAAGTGGGCTTTGCAACCAGAGAAGGAAAGGCAGCCATAGGACACAGAAGACAATGTGCAAGCACCAGGATTTCAATGAAAGTGCGTTTTTAACCTTAAATACCAGAAATACTTGTTCTAGAATAGAACTGTTTTACAAAAAATGATTTTTAATACTTAAAGTTGCTTTGAATTTTCAGGCATACGGTAGTTAGTTGATGATGCTTTCAGTATAAAATAGCAAAATTACCTTCAGCTCTAGCACACAGGTAGTCAAACAAGAAATTACTATCGTAACCAATTTCTGTACGCTTGATAATTGATGGCCCTTTATCCAAAGACGTATATGAATTTGAGGAAAAGCTTTTTCTTTAAATTAGAATTTTAAATGCAAATTTCACATCGTATTTCTGGGTAACATAATGAAAGAAAGAAATCCTTCTGACTGACTGAATTATGGACGTGTGTCAAGGGAATAATGCAGTGATTATATCTATTCCAGACCATGTATTGTGACGACGGTCCCTGCTAGAGTACTACTGTTAAAGGGCTACATTTTAATTGCTTATCTTCTGTATTTTCTTATAATTTTTTTTAAGTAAACACAAACTGTTTATCCACATGGGTTTTTTTAGCTTTAAAACTGACACAAAATACTACTGGAGAAAAATAATGCAGCTTGTTGATTAATAACCTACAAATGAATGAGAAAAACTTTGTCATAATATTTTGAACCTTAAATTTTTGATCAAATATCTGGCGCTAGTGGGGTGAATATTCTTAGTACCAGAAGTGCAATGATAGTCCTCAGCTTTGGGGATGCTACCGTGCAAAAATAGTCACAATACTTCTGGCTTACTCTCTAAAGAACCAGATCCAAAGTCAGGTCAGAGTTGTTTTCTTGCTGTGATAGTTCTGTGTCTGGCCTTTGGCTCCTTGCCTAAAACTCCAGGAGGATAATGTACCTTTTCCATATACGTAGGTTAGCGCTAATTAACCTACGCAGTTAGAAAGGGGGAACTAAATATGAAATAAGAGTGAATGAGTGTTTAGGTGAGTAGGGATGTTTGTTGTTTCAGTGACGGCTGTATTATCTTTAAAAGAAAATAATCTGACTTTTAAATCCTTACTTTGATTACCCAAGCAGACCTCCCCTTACATGGGGTTGTGGTTGTCATATGCCTCTTTGAAATGGCATTATGGTTTCCTCTGTTGTTTATAAGTAAGGGCACACTAGTTTCTTTGTTTGATTATCCTTATTAGATACAGAATCAGGAAAGACGTTTTCCTACTTTCTGTTCTTGAAGGGACATTTACATAAAGTAACAAATAGAATTGCACATTTCTGGGTGGGTGAGTAGAGTTAGGGTTGATTCTTTCAGCATTTGTTGATGTTGAACTTGACTGCACCAACAAGATGAATTTTATATATCTACCCAAACAAGCACTTTTGGATGCCAGTGCAACATCTAATGTGCCATTTTTACCATTAATGTTCTGGTACTCTTGTTTTCTTGTTTTGGCATGCGTGCCCATATGTGTGGTGAAGGCTTACTAATTCTTCATTATGAAATATGACAACAGGTGTAAGCACTGCCAGAAAATAAGCAGGTTTAGGATAGCAGAGGCTGGTACTTCAGTGTGAGTGAATTCACAGGTACAGTTTTGTTCAGAACTTTTGTATATGGGGAAGTTAAAACAGCTAAGAAAATATGTACATGCTTTAGTTGGGCACAAGTGGCAAGATATGGGTTTCAAAATTGGACGTGACTGGTGTCTGCGTGCAATACAATTATTTTCTTCTTCATGATCTGAACCCCTTAAATAATTGCAACACAAGAAAATTATGACAATTAGTTCTGCACGGAATTTATTAAGTGTAGTGTCCTACAATTTGCCCTTTAAATGTCATTGCTGAATATAAAAGTACTTTGAACCAAAATCTGCTCTTCATGCAAATGAATGATCTTGGGGACCATGGAAAGAGGGGTTTTGTTTTAATGGCAGCACTCTGATTTTAGTCAAACTGGGGGTTTGCTGTTGTTGCTTTCCTTTGCTTTACTAGTTTTCTGCCTTGCTATCGCACTGAATCCTCTTCATCCATTCAGTCAGAAAGTCAAGAGCAGCCAGCCCTGATGCTTTAGACAATTTTTAGGTTTTACACACATCATTTTATAATACTGAATTTGAAAGGATGGCAGTGGTTTACTATTGCTCTTGCTGAGAAAAACAGTAGAAAATAAATTTCCTAGAAATGTTTTGGGCATGAAGGAAACATGGTTTTAAGTATTCTTCCACTTATTAACTAATGTATGTCCAAAAGGTAAAAGTGTTTTCTGTATTGCAGATCAGCACACTATGAAAAGTAAATACAACATATCATTCATAATTTTATGGTGCTTTGCAGATATTTGCCTATTGTGAACAATTCATTCAGGCACTTAATGAGTTAATGTTAGTTAGTAAATGTAGTCACCCTGATAGTAACTATTTGCTTGCTTAACCTTTTTTTAACCTTTATGATTCTGTATTAATGAGAGACATATATTACATATTTAAGTAATACTTTCAGTGGTGCCTACTACTGTTGTAATCGGGAAGGCTTTGTTAGCTTTACAGTTACATATATGCCCTTCTTATTCAGGAAACTTATTCTTCCCTGGCCATTCCTTAAGTTGACATGTAGACAAGATTTCAGTAATAGGTGACGTGACATTTTAAAATACATTACCATGTAAAAATACTGGTATGCGTTTCAATATGCTCTTGATAACAAATCGTACTTTAGTGAGAAGACTTTACGAAGACATCTTTGTATATTCCCTGCTCTACGCTGACTTGTGGTAGGAGTTTTACCAGTATAGTATGTTATTTATTAGAAGAATTTTACGCTTAAATAACTTGTTCTGTTTCCCCTGTGGGAATAAGTAACATGAATATAAATGCTACACTTGTGTGACAGGATGCACACTAGGTAGTTGTGCCTCTATTGATGGCATTGATTTGGTTAGTGGTAAAACGGCCTCTGGTGCAGAGGAGACATTTATGAGATCCTCACCTCCTGTCAAATTCATATCAAAAGTAATTTTAACAGAATCTGGATTTTTCTCTCAGAAGCTTTGCAAACTAATTGTTGACAATTTGTTGAAATACACGGTCAAATGTGTCCTCACGTTTGCCTGCAAATCTGTCACTGTTGCTTACATGTAAACTTTCACATGCTCAACTTTGTAAGTTGGCCTTGAATGATAAAGAAATTTAAAAGCACAAGTTACAATAATCTAGGCTTTCATTTCCCTTATCCTTAAGTCTTTCACTTTGTATTTCTCATTGAATTCTGAAATCAGGTTTGAGATTTTTTCATTTTCAATGAAAATTTGGAAATATTGCCATTTATGTTGAAAAGTCAGTGTTAAAAAAACAGATGGAAATAAATTTAAGGATTTTAATATGATGCAGACTCTACATATAAAAAACATACATTGGTTCTGTGCTGATTCATTGCAGTATTTCAAGATTAGCCTTTCTGTATTTATTTAGGTCCCGTAATACTCAGAAGAGCACTTGGAATTATTTTTAAATTTCCTGTTAAAAAAAATCAGTTGGCTATAAGTACTTAAAGTATTTAAATGCTATGCTGAATAAGTGTCTAAGCAGATACTCTAGTGAATTGAGCCTACTCTCATTAGATTACCAGATCTGTCTGGATCTAAACTAGCTGGCACTGTTGGTCTTGATCCTCTTCGCAGTCGTGGTGGAAAAGCTGGCTGTGAAGAAGTCTCTGGCAAGAACATGTCCTGTCAGTGGCCGGGAGGGTTTGCCAGAGTTCCTGGGGGGAGCTAACCCTACATGCAGAGCTTGACAGAGGATCTACTTGCCTGTGACCCAGGCTGCAGCTGCTCTATGCTACATCTACCTGGATTTTTGATGTGTTTGCTGTCTCGAGCTAGACATTTTGCAAACACCATGAAATCCAGGCATCCACAAAGTCACCCTGCAAGGTTACAACTGCAAATATTGCAACAGTTGCTTATTATGGTCAAAACTAAATGGAAGAAAAAAATTTCTTAAAAACTTGTTTTGAGATGAGCCTTTTGTATGTTTTATACAAAACCTAACCATCAATTGTATCAATTTTCATCCCATTAAATATTTAAAACATAATTTTGCTCACTTTAGGTATACAAATGTGCAAAAGCAAATTTTGCCACTTCATCATCTTCTGTGCATTAGCTGTGTGTCCAGTGACTTAGGCCTGGTTTTGGTTTTAGATGTTTATAGATTGTCTAAATCCATGTGCATATCCATATAAACATTGTGTAAACTTTATGAATTGACAAACTGTAGTTACATATAGTGTGCGTAAATATACTTAAAATAGGTCATATCAGTATTTACGTGAGGCTAGCGTTGAGCCCTCCAGTTGTACACTACATCTGCTGAAGGCTGTTGGGCTCCGTTCTCAGAGTACTAAGCTTTCTGCTTCCTAAAAGTTGAGTTGTGGTGAATGGAGTTCAATCCAGTTGGCGGCCGGTCACGAGCGGTGTCCCCCAGGGCTCAGT